AATTGTTCTATGATTCTATGATTCTATGTCTAGAGTCAATACTGTCCACACTCCTGGCTTTCAGATGCTGCTATTCTTGACACCAAGGTGCTCCGGCCATGGGTGCAGATAGGCCTACTGTGCTATTTCCATGAAAGAAAAGTATTTATTTTTTTTCTCTTCTTGTCCTTTCCCTTGCTCTTTGCTCTGTAGGAAGCTTCACTGCACTCGAAATTTCATCCACATGAACCTCTTTGTTTCGTTCATCCTACGTGCAATATCCGTATTCATTAAAGATGGGGTTCTTTATGCCGAACAGGATGGCAACCACTGTTTTATCTCAACGGTAAGTAAAACCGAAGGTAAAGACTTTTCCTTTTTTTATTATTTTTTCACCACGAGATAACAAAATGAGGCGGGGAGCAGTCTGTTGAGTGTCATAGGCTGAGAAGCCATTGGGAGAGAAAGTAATTGGTGGTAAACTTCCCTCCCAGTACACAGCAAAACTGGATGTTACCATCTCAAGATGCTATCAGTGTGCAGCAGTCTGTCCTTCAGGACAAACGTACAGGTTCTGGTTTCTCTCATTACTCAGGTTGTTCCTCCCTTTCACAGATCTCCATGATGATAGGTAGGATGAGAGCAGACACAAGCAATTTCCTTCACCTGAATGTGTGTTTTTTCTCCAGAGCCTTGTTTGTTATGGATGTCAGGCAGGGTTATGTGTAAACAGGATGACCGTTTAGGCATAGAAAATAGTCCTGGTGGTCAGAGTCTCAAAAAATCATTGGTATTAGGCATGTATTTGTCTCTGAAGTGTGCAGTTTTATGGAAAGCCTTCTTTTTCATGGATGCGCTTAGCTATATGCTACAAGTAAATCCCAATTCCTTTAACATTTAAGACTAGTATTTGGTTTGATAAATCAGCTCACTGGGTGTAATTATGATGGAATTACAGTGAGTTCCCAAACTGAAATCTCCTTTATCTAGCCAGTTATGAGCTAAATTCCCTATGAGTCACTTCCACAAGGAAAGTGCAGTTGTGCAGTTTCTTAGTCAGCCTTTTCTTTGTCATTGAAACTAGTTTTTGCTTTTAATTCATCTCCATAAGAAAACTGAAGCCATGTTAGATCTGTAGTTGGTTGCTACCACTCTTCTAATGGTGGCATCTGCCTCTTTGTTTTGAAACACTTGGAGCATATAACGCATTAGAATCATCTCTTCTAATGACCAGGGAGATCTTCAGCCCACATAAAGTGGCAGAGCTTCCACGAAGAAACTCAAGTTCTGATGGTTTAAGCAATATTGGTTGTAGGTTTGTCCCAGAAGGTAGAATATAACTGGGAGGCAGTCAAAAATCTGAGTCTCCCATTAACGCAGGCAGGAGCTTCCAGTTTATACACTGATTCAGTTCTGATATCTTCAAAAGTCCTACTTTTGTAGCATTAATGATGTCTCACTGGGATACAACACTGGAAGGACAAGTGTGTCCTACCCTCACAGAGTCCTGGTAGAGCTCAGTCTCCACTTTTGTATTTGAGTGTTTTGTGGAGGTTTTCCCCCCTCCTTTTTTATTTCTTTTATCTGCTGTTTTCCTCCCCAGTAAATGAATAAAAACTTCTATCATTTTTTTTACAAAAAATTACTCTTGCTTTCTTTACACTTGCACTTACTTTCATTTTCTGTCCCTGAGTGACAACGCCTGCAAATTGCAGGGAAGAACAATTCTCAACTGCCCACAGGAGGGTGCACCCTTTCTGATCCCACTCCCGGGGCTTTCTGCAATCATCCTGCCATTTCACATCCTCCCTTAGGCTTCTCAGTACACCACTGGATTCTTTTCTTCTCTGCATTTAATCTTGGGAAGGGGGCTTAAATCTGGCAATTAGCGATCACTGACGATGTGAGCTCCCGCTAACGCAAGACATTCTCAAGCTGTCTGCAGATGCTCGTTGACCACCTCCCACTGGTAAAATTGGCTGCCTGCCCTTTCAAGCTTCACTCTCTAAAGTGGCACCTCACATTTTTCTCATGCTTTTAAAACTTTACTATTAAAAGTGTATAATACTAGTGCCAGCTGTGTTCCTTTCTGCTAAGAGATCTGGAGAGCTTGAAAGCATTTTCTCTATCCGATAGGCAGAAACAAAATGGAAATAACTTTGTTTTTCTTGATTCTCTGCAGGTGGAATGCAAAGCAGTGATGGTGTTTTTTCACTACTGTGTCATGTCCAACTACTTCTGGCTTTTCATTGAAGGATTGTACCTTTTCACTTTATTGGTAGAAACCTTTTTCCCAGAGAGGAGATATTTCTACTGGTACACTATTATTGGCTGGGGTACGTGACATTTCTTGTCTAAAATGCGCCTCAGTGTGCAAAACAACTACATGAACCACCTAATATTTCCACGTTCAGTTTCAAAACATCATTTTAGTCCTTGTATAGAAGTACTGCTGCAGATTGAACTGTCTTGTGCTTTTCTGTCTGCATACAGTTGAACTGAAATGTAGAGGACACCGCACCTCCACATCTCTTGCAGAGATGTAGTCCAGAGCTGACAATTGTCTTCTATGAGATAGGGTCTTAATGCCAAGTCCTTCAGCTTACTCAAATCTGCAATGCTAAATTCTAGTGCATTTGCTAAGACTCCATTTTTGCCTTTTTTCCAGATAATAACTAAATTGAAAACATATCCAAAGAGTATTCACATACACTCATCATACCAGAGTGGGAAATGGAAACTTGCAATGGGAAGAAACAAGATTTGCTTCAGAAAGGCCAGTTGTGCAATGCTGATGAGTGCAATTGTTTTGCATGCTGGCCTTCTGGAGATAAATTGGTTGCTGTAACATGTTAATTCAAACAGTTCTTTACTGACATTTCTGTGCAGAAATCAGACGGTGAATGCAGAAGAATACATGATTTTAAAATGTACCTTATGAAGGTTACACTAATTTTTTTTACTTAAAAAAACACGTTTCCGAAACAAATTCAAAAACAATCCTGTACATTTATCTACATGCCAGCTGTATGCCTTGAACTATTCTCCTTTAAAAAACCCCACACCTTCAAGTAACCTGAACCTTCAAGTAATCCAGATGGTTTGAGGTTTTTCCCTCCCGAGACAGCTGTACATACAGAAAAATTTTCATCTCTTGGCAAAGTCTCCCTACAATAGGAGCAGAGGTATAGAAAGAAAGAAAGAAGAGAACAAGAGATGAAAAATAACCTGTGGTGTAAAAAAGTTATTGGAAAAAGGTGGAAGATGCTGTTGGAAAAGAAAGTACTGGACATAGATATTCGCAGTGTCCCTTGTACTACCTACAGATATATAACCACATTATAGTTGAGATACAAGACTGTTTTCAAAGAGAACTCAGGGGTTATATACATGAAAATGTGACACATATGAAAGAAAACAATGTATAAATCTTTGTAATCGGAACATAAATCAGAGGTCTGGTTCCTTTAGTTAAGTTTGCTCAAATTTCGTATCTGAAGATTCATCTGAATGTGAGAATATTTCAACGTAGAGTATTAACTGAATATTTTTCTTTAAAAATGCAGTCTCTCTAATGAAAGAACTACGTAGATGGATTGATTTTATAACACAACATTAGAATATCTGGTCCTGAGCTGAACACCATAAATAAGATCAGACTGCTCAGTATCAATAATATCCATTAATGACAATACTAAGAGAATCTCCAAATGTGGATATTTTGTGGTTTGGTTTTGGGGTTTTTTTAATATAATCTTTTCCCAGATTCCAAATATTTCAACTTGAATAGCAGTTCCCCTGACCTGGTAGGAGCAATTGGCACTTTGCAAAACCAGAAACACCTCCAGACTCTGGGTGAAAGTCATGCTGTGCAAAAGCAGCCCCTCAGCTCAGAGCTCGTGGAGAGGGAATTCCATTGAAGCAGCAATAAAGAAAGCTCAGCATTTTTCAACATCTGGATGCTTCTCTGTTTCTTAAAATATGCTGAGCACATCAGTGTCCATTAATGAAAACTACATATGGCTATGTTGATCAAGGCATTTTTTTCCTCTTAAATGTGCACTATCATAAATTTGTGGAAACATTAAGGTTGGAAAAGGCCTCTAAGATCATCAAATGTCAACCCAACACCACCATGATCACTAAACTCTGTGCTGGTAAGTTCTGTGGATAGACTGAGAGCTCTTCTAAGGGCTGCTGCTTACTCCGAGCAGAGACACAGTCAGCAAGAATTGTTCTTTTCCTAGCCTTTGGAGCTTGTCTGTTTTCTAATGTTACGCTGAACCTGAAAAGGTGAAGAAATAGATATCATCTGATGTAAAGAAAAGTAATGTGAGTATATGTATATTCAAATGGGTTTTTTGAACTGCATTTTTATATGACACATTTAGTCTAATTCTGTCTCCCTGCCCATGACTGAGACTTGGAACACTGTTCATACCGCTAGAATGTATGTAGTACAAATCAGAACAAACTAGATAGCACAAGAGGCCCATGTTTATAGTTAAAGATTACTTTTATTATTGTGTATCCATGAAGTGCACAAAGTCCTCAATGTGTTCTAGGTGTTCTCATGTGAGAAAAGTAGACTTCAATTTACAATAAATATGCATGATTTCTTCTCCCCAAAGCCTGTCATTTTATGACTTTTTATCATTTTCCTTTCAAATTTTTCTCTGTGTGTTTTTTTTAAAGGAGGTCTTCATCAGTCATCTAGGCCTAACAGGAACGTTTTTATTTCTGACAATGGGAATACAGGATTTGACAGAGACTCACTTGAGTGGATTCGGCTGAATGACTAATTAATGTGACATCAACACAGCCTTGCAAAATGTACAAAACATAATTGTTCCTGTCAATTTACAACAGTCTTATTCACTGTTGCAGGCTGGGTTTATCAAGGCCCTTGTTTTGTTTGCTTTTTAGCACTTATTTTTCCAGTGGTGCCTGAATAGATTTGGGCAGTTTCCTCCTCAAAAATTTTATTTTCCATAAAATGTAGATTCAATCCTCTCAGAGTTGTCTTGCAAAACTACATTATTTTATAAAAATATTTCCATTGAGAAAAAGCACTTTTAATGTTTAAAGAAAGAAAAATAAAGCCAGGTTTCTCAGTGAATTCTTACTGGTTTTATTTAGTTTGTACTTTACATGCTTTTTTTAAAAGTAAATAAATGTTTGAAATAGAAATGAAATTTTTGCTCCTAATATTCTCTTCCAGGGGTTGATTTGGGTTTTTTTAATAAAAAAAAAAAGGAAAAAAAATACTCCTGTGAGTAAAGGAAAAGTATTCCCTACTGATTTGTTGTGGTTGAACAATAAAGCAAAAACAGTTATTTACACAATAAGATAAAATGCAATGTATGTAAATCATTTAAAACCACAAAAGAATAAGAAGAGTACAATAATGCCATTTCATCTCAACATCTGCCAGTCTGCAATTATTGCATAATAGCTCTGGACACGGAAGCTGATGTCACTGCTTTTATTTTGTACAGATTATCTTTACCATCCATGTAACAAGGTGTAGTACAACAACTTTGAGCAATAATGACCTGAAACGGCATAATTTTCTCCTGTTGCCAGTTTTGCTTCTGCAATCCCACCAAGACAAGCACATCCTCTGACCGAGACAGATGTTTCTAGAGCTCCGAATTAATGAAATTAATTGCATTGCTTCGTACACGAGTGCTATTAGGAAGTAAAATTCGATTGAGAGGTTGCAAAAAGTGCTCATAGCTGAGATACAGCTAATGATATTGCCATCTTATCTTCTTTCAGGTACCCCAACAATTTGTGTCACTGTCTGGGCAGTGCTGAGACTTCACTTTGATGATACTGGGTAAGTATCACATGCATTCATCACAATGGCAAGGATGAAACAAAAATATAGTGATCAGAGGACATGACTAATTTCTTCTTCCATTTCTGACATCCAGTTGTGTTTGCAAGTAATTTAGGTCCAGCATTCAACTACTACAGCATGAACTACTGTCTTGATCAGCTGCATAAATAGTTGTAGTTCCATGTTTATGTCCCTGTCGCACTGGTGAATTCATAAAAGAGGTAGCCACGTAAAAGAAGATACAAATGTACAGCTGACACAGTGGCCCTCTGTTCCCTGCTCAATTAAATTAGTGGAGTCCAGGATATGATTTATCTCATCTTCAAAGAGCCATCAGGGGAATCACACTTGGGACTTCCTTCTCTTCGGTTGAAAGAAGATGAGGGTGAAATGCTCAGCTGTGGAAATTATTGCAGATACCTCTGATGTGATGAGTGAAATCTCCCCAAGGAGTTGCTAGGCTTTTGTTTACAAATGTAATTAGGAATTTAGATACCCCTCAAAGAGTTTTTTTTCCACAAGTCTAGTGAGAGAGATGTATAGAGGCAAGACAGACATTCCTAGAATCATAGAATTGTTTGGGTTTGTTTAGCAGTCCAACTGATAAACTAGCAATGCCAGGTCCACCACTAAAATATGTCCGTGAGCACTCCATCTACATGTCTTCTAAATACCTCCAGGGATGGTGACTCAACTGCTTCGCTGGGCAGCCTGTTCCAATGCTCGGCAACCCTTTTAGTGAAGGGTATATTTTATCTAATATAAACCTCCCCTGGCACAACTTGGGGCCATTTCCTCTTGTCCTATCACTTGCTACTTGGGAAAAGAGACCGATACCCAAATTTCTACAACCTTCCTATGCTGAAAGAAAATGAGAAGTTGGAAGAATTTCAGAATGAATTCCAGATGGTAGATTCCCCCTAAATGGCCTCTTTTGGTGGGGAAAAATCCTGCAAAGATCCTGTATTCTTTTCCAAAGGACTAGGAGAAGAGGCTACTGCCAGAGATGGTCCTGCACACCTCGGTAGTCAGAGCAGCAGAGATAGCTGGCAGGAATGGCCATGTATGGACACTTTGAAAATACAAACTTAGCAATGATTTTTCATGACAGCTGTGTTTGAAATTGGTGAAATGTTAGGAAAAATACTGGGAATGAAGGAGAATGAATTAAATTTGGAAAATCTAACAATGATTCTTCGAAAATGTTGATCTGAGTGAAAGGTCTAATTATGTACCCAACTCTTGTTTCCAAGAGACTTAGGCTTAAGTTTTAATTTTGCCTTATATTAGAGATATCTGGATCCAAAATTTGCCTAAGACTCACTGTTCTGCCTGGTTTTCCTCATCCTTGTTCTTTTGTGCTCTATTTGGAAAGCACATAAAGCCCTTCCTCCACTGGGGATGCCAGTGCCTTGACCCAATGTTCTATTTTGACATTAAAACAAATAAAATCATTTATTTTGATGCAAAACAAGCCAGAACCCCCTGTTGTGCCATTATTATGATTACATCACTGGTCTTAAATGAATTAATTTCTCTTAGGAGTCAAAACAGTCCTTGCATTTTGAGGGTGGGGGAACGTCTAACAAAAGGAAAAAGAAAAAAAAAGAAAGAAAAAAAAAAAGAAACGCAAACCCCCAAACACTTTCTTTTAGTTAGAGAAGCTATTTAGCATGCAAGACGTTTAGAGAGATTCTAGTTGAGTGTCTCAGTGGTTACTTTGTAAAAATCAGCAAGCATTGTTCTGGGGGTGGGGGACAAGCCAGCATGAGCCTGAAAACATTGCAGAAATTACTGACCTGGGAAACCCCAGTCGCAAAGGCATGGACTAAAATACAGAGTCTGAGCCTGAGCCTCCTCCTGCTTGCTCCTTTTAGCACTGGCAGAGCTCCCTTGACTTCAGCTCCTGATTCCCATGACTGTGAAGTGACAGGTTTTGTGGAGATAAATGCAGCTGTCTGTTCAGCCAGAGCTCTGCTACCGAATTAAATGGAGTTGTTCCAGATGTACACCAGAGATATATCTGAGATTAGACTTTGGCTTTTTCAGACAGAAACCACATCCCTCGCCCAGCACCTTGGCTCCCTTCCGTTCATCCATCCTGAAAAAAAATTCTGTGTATCTGACCTCCACTGCAGCAACGCGTTTGAAAGAAATTAGGGAGCCTGGTTACGTAATACAGCTTGCTGGCTGATGTTACAGACTGTTCTCTTGTGCATTGCTTTATTTTCCTCCTGGTCATATTGATCTGAGGAGAAGGTGATGTTTCTTCCACCACGTCCATTCTATAAATGTCACAGGGACTGGACCAAAAACAGTCCTTGAAAAAAACTTTGTGAGAGCTTGATCGGATTTGTTGGTGGTGACAACAACAAAGTAGACCCTGGCAACTGAGCTTGCTGGGGACACATCCTATAAAAGGAGAGGAATGGGTCTAAGAAAAATAAGCATTTGCAGGCGATGATGTATTGCCCTAGAGTGCACATTTAAAATGCAACTGTGCTGAAAAAAACCCAACACCCTCCAGGTATCTATTTGTCCTAACCAGAGACTGGGATAATTAATTGGGCTGGAGGTGTCTTCAGTAGAGATGACTGGGGCTAAAGGAAGTAGATTCTGCCCCCTATAATTTCTCATTTCTACATAAACAAATTGCCAGGCATCCACATCCATTTGTACAGCCAGACTAATATTAGAATTTGCCCAAATTCTTCCAGTATTGGTCAACTCACTGAAGACTTTCACTGCAGAAGTTACATTAAGCTCTCATGAGATCAGCAGTGGTTTAGTCCTGTACACTCTAGTTTCTTGGCATCTGAGAAATGCATCAAGACAACCAATGCTGAGACTTTTTGGCTGTTGTCTCAGTGGGAGGGAAATCCTCCTTCTCAGAACTGCAGGTACAAAGTAGATGGTATTTTATTTTATGTTTTCTAGAGGGAAGTATGAAGAGATGAAAGCAGAGATAAATAAAAGCCATTTTTTTAACTGACAATCAAACTCTTAGTGACAAGAATTAAGTCTCTTAGTGAGGTGAGAGTGGTGGGGGAGGGGAAATAAGATTTTTTTTTCATTGTTATTGATTTGCTAGCTTTAGAAATATAAGTTAAAGTAAAAAACATACGTTTATATGGGTCCTATAATTAGCTTTCTCAACAAATAAATGCATCTATCTATATGGAATGAACTTCAGCAGAAGCATTTGATGAATCTGAAATGCTGAGGTAGAAAAGGCATTTTGTTTGTGATCACTCACTCCCAACAACTTAAAAAAGGAGCTGACCCCAAGTGTTGTCCAGCACTTGAATCCTCTTAGATGAACCCTTGCTATGACTTGCAACCCAATGACTGGAAAATCATTCCTGTGCTTGAATACAACCAGTTTCTAATACATCCTTGTGTACTAGGTATCTGTAAGAATCCTCATGTCAGGGTGAAGAACCAACATTCATACATGTTTAACCTGGAAAAGTAAGTGAGACATCAAACTTTGGAATAACCATCTCTTATCCTTCAAAGTGTCCCTATCTTTTTCCCTTCTATTGAGACATTAGCTTAAAGGGACAATTTCACAGCTATAGTCTCTGTAAACACAGAAATAGATGTAAAGGCATTTTTCAGTGTGGCTAAAATGTTAGTTAGAAATTGCCACAAAAATACTGAGTTTACTTCCAGGTAATTTGAATAAAGGCTGTAAAAGAAAGCTGCAGAAGTAACAGAATAAAGAACTATTACCTCTGAACCCAAATAAAATTATTTACCTACAAGACAAATCTGCTACTCTCTACCCCCTTAAAAATTTTTGTGAGTTTATTAACTTCCTTGTTATATCTTTCTCTTTTTATTTTTCTTTACTTCTCTCTCTCTCCTACCCCGTTCTTTATTAATGGCTGCAGCTGCTGGGACATGAATGACAACACTGCCTTGTGGTGGGTGATCAAGGGTCCTGTGGTTGGATCCATCATGGTAAGTAGCACTTGGAGCAGGTGTTTCCTCAACACTTCTGAGGATGAATAACTGATTCAAACGGCTTTACAAACCACTCTGCATCAGCTGCACTGGTCTTCTGGACAGCATGTCTGAAGTTTCACTATTTGCCATCCATAATGCAAAGTAATTCCATTTTTATGAAAGGGTTTAATACAAGTTAAATGATGGGGAGCTCTCTGCAAGCAAAGACAGTATAGACAAGAAGTTATTTAGTTGCTTAAACATAGATCCTAAATGCTATAAGAGCCTGAAACATACGGAGTATTCACCTGGGGATGGCAGATATGATAAAGGATGTATGGGAATCCTGTGATGTTTGGAGTGGCAGCTGAAGGGCAAGTGGGAAAACCCAGGACATCTAAAAGAATACTACTTGCCAGTAACTAGGAAACTGGACTGTGTCTGATCAGTGGAACTCATTTCGCAGCTATGTCTATTTGTCTAGTAATAACTTTATAATAGTATTATGGATGTAGTGCAAGATGTTTAATTGTTGGAAATGTACCTAAGCTCTCTTTAGTTGATAGAGGTCTTGGATTTGACTCAAGCAATGCTAGATATCTACGTGTGTATGACTGAGAGGTTTTAAAGTACCCAGTCTGAGCTCTAGCTGCTGCCTCAAAAGAAAATGGGAATTTTAAAATGATATTGTGCTCCTCCAGTTAAGAAATTTAGTCCCTGGACAATATGGTTAGTGAACCTGAAGAGCTGTTTGGCTTACGATACTTAGATGTCTGATTCTGCGATCCTAAGTTGCTCTCCATACTCCAGTGACAGCGTTGGCCAGGTCTTCATTGACTGTGATGGGGATGTAGACATCCAGCTCACAGGTAGTTGTCTCCATGGAGGTATTTTCATCAGGCTCAGTGCTTCTCCTTTCAGGTATTTGGACAAGTCTCTAAAGTGGGGTAAACTTCAGATACATTAAAGATAATTCAGCTAAGAACATTGCAGGGTACTGAGATGGAGAGGGTCCAATGATCTGGGCTGTTTGTGATATCGTTATATTTGAATTTCCATGCTTTACAGACATATTCTGTGAAGGATTACATTCTAACTTTGAGGTATCAGATACACTTAGCTTCTGCTGAAGCTACTAAAGATCAAGAAACTAGCAAGGGACAACTGGGTTTCTCTATTCATTTGTAGTCCTCAGATCAGACAGAAAAATTCTTCTCAAAGAGATGCTTACATCTAGTTTAAGTTCTTGTTCTTAAAGGAGTAAAACGTTTCATAAGACAGCAACTTAAATTTCCCACTGTTTTCTTCTGGTGTTAATCAGAAACCAAAACACCAAAATAAACTGATTTTATAAGTCTCTAAATTTTAAAAAATATATCTGCAATGACATGATTTTACAAAAGAGAAGATGCTCAGGAAGACAGAAAACTAAATGACATGAACATTAACCCCCATCCTTCCACTCCTCCTCTCTTCAAAACATTAGAGGTCATCCCATCTTGAGCCAGGTTCAACCAGAGAGAAAGTGACACAACTTGGGATTTCTGGGAGAGAGGAAACACCAAACTGTGACCCATGAATGCCTTAGGTCAGAGAATGGGAAATAAAGTTGCTTTTACTGTTGAGATCTTTACTAGATGTCCCTGGTGTGCAGGGACCTTTCTTTTAATTCTTTCCACAGGTTAATAATGAACAATGTTGAAAACTTTTTGCTTAAGTTTGTCTTACTCTGTGCCTGGGACTGAAGAAATTCTGCCTTGCTTTATCTTCTGCAAAGGGGATATTTTTGCCTGGAAAAAGGGCAGTAAGATGCTTATAAACTTATCCTACTATTCCTGACGCTATAAAACTTCTAGACTTAGAGAAGAATAAAACTGTGGAGGCAGCAAGTCACTGGGAATGTATGATTCTCATACTTGGAAAATTATACCATTGTCATAATTTTTTCTTTCTTGTTTCCCCCTAGATAAACTTTGTGCTCTTTATTGGCATAATTGTGATACTTGTGCAGAAACTCCAGTCACCTGATATCGGGGGCAACGAATCCAGCATCTACTTGTAAGTACAAACGAAGCAGTAATTGATTTAGCTTTCTAACATACACATAGGAAAAAAGACAAAGTCAAAAATTCAAAGTGGGACAGTCTGCTGCGCTTCATACATTCCAAGGTTCAAAGTTCATTGAAAGCTATGGGATTTGGGGAAAAGATTTCATTAGCTTTGCACTGAATTCTAATTTAGGCAGATCTTCTAAATTCATTTATGTTCATGTTTTTCATAACCTTGAAAGCATTCAACTTACACCAAACAATTCCTCACACGGCCAGAATTGCTTTAAAAAGCACAATTAATCCTGAAATTTTCTTTTTAGCAATTTTAAAACTTAGTTTGTGATTTATATTTTTTAAAGCTAACAGCTTTTTTCTTAGTTTCCACCTCACCAGAGGAAAGATATTGGCCAGTTGAAATAATCGTCTTTCCCATGTTGAGGGCATGTGGTCATTCTCAATAATAAATTATGCAATTGTTTTGAACATCTAAGATACGTGGCAGCACATTTGGTGCGTTCTTGGCTTTTCGACCTAAATGCCATGCACATTTGCTCTGCAATTTTTTTTGTGAGATCTAGAGATTTCTAGCACTCATAAACAAAGACGAGACTATATGATTTAGCACTGGATTCCTGGTGAAAAAAGGCAAGTCATACAAACCTTAAATAAAAATAAAAAATATCAGGGTATAGTAGACATCCTGATTTGTAGTATTTAAGAAAAAAATAAAAAATTGACCAGTGATCGGTTGCACCCTATGTAGCAACATGCGTATTATTGCAATGCCATCCATCTAAAAGACAATTTTCAGGGAAAAATACGTCCCCCAACTGCCTACTTTTCTTCCCTTCTTTCCTATTGTCTGGTTTACAGTTAAGTGAAATGATAACATTTTATGCGTCACTTTCTCATCTCTGTAGTCAAGCATCCAATTGCTGAAAATACTACCCTTGATGTCTGCTCTAAACTGTTTCAACAGTCAAAAATAATGCTTTAAATTCGTTCTGCGGGTGGATATATCTCAGAATTAAAACCCAGGAGAAAGTGTAGTGAATCGATTAATTGTATGCATGGTTTGCCTAAGGGCTTGCATGAAGATTTCCCCTGTATGCGCTGCTAGGAAATTGTCCACTGAATCTTAGATTGTAATTAGCGCCCAAGATGTGCAGAGCTAATTCCGATTACAACCTGCTACGTGCATGTTCGGTGCCTGCTGCACATCTCTCTCATATGGAGCAACGCATGCCATAGACTCCAGTGATTTAACTAGATTTTAGAGCATCCTTGTCATTTTTGATCAATATGGTGACTGGGTTTTACTGATATTTTTCCTATGTGTATAGTTAGCCACCAAAAATCAAGAGAAAAAAAAATCATATTTTCTGTTTCATTCGCTGCCATTATTTTTCATATTTTTTTGCAACTTTGTAAATGGGTGTGTATAGATTGATCTTGCATTTATGTATGTGTTATGAAGCGGAGTGTTGTTTATCCAAACAGATTCGACAACAGAAAAGTCACACAGAAATGATAAAACAGAAATGAAATTACTAAGTCTATGCAGATATACACCAGACATAACATTTGTGCACACATATCCTGTAAAAAGAGAGCTGCTGTAGTGAAGAAAAAGATAGATCATAGTATGGTTATGTCACCATATTGAAATTGGCATTTAGACTGTGGTCCACATTAAGCATTTTCCATGCCCTATTTTGCTGTTTCAAACTATTAAATGTCATTCCATTAGACTAAAGTCTCCATCCAGATATTTATTTCACATCATATTTAAGTATTTGGCCTTTAGTACATGAAGCAGATCAGTCACGGTTGAGGAAAGATGTTCAACCTGTTTCTGAAGGTATCTGCAGCAGGGACTGAGATTTATTTTAGCATCAGCGTTCTACTTTTTGGAATAACCTGTTAGCCAGTACTTTCATCATCAAAAAAACCCAAACAAACAGAAGACCCCACAAAAACTTGGTTATTGTCTTTGAGGAGGATTTATTTTCTTCTTATATGCATGATATATGTTTATGTTCAGGCCCTTTTAATTATTACTTTTGTTAGGAAAATCTACCTCCACTTCTATTTTATAGACACGATGGTCATAGCTCTGCAAATCGCTTAAGCCAACATTAGACTTTAAAAGCCTTGGGGATGTTCTTGAATTCAGACATTAATTAGATATTGTTACCACTGTTCATTCATTATTAAAAAATCCCACTATGAAGTTAGCTGTTAGCTGTGACAGGGACACAACAGAAGAGTGCACTACTGGGGAACTAAGGCTTAGTAAATATAGTGTAGCCACTAGAGAGTGTAAGACTTATGTTAAAAAAAACCACTAAACAATAACTTGCATAATTTGCAGCGCAATAATGAGTGCTTCACCTTCATAAAAAAAATAAATAAATCAGATTTTCTCTCTAGATAACCTCTTGTTCACTATATGGAACAGCCTTTGCCTTTAGGCTGACAAGAACTTGAAAACGTGTAGCTAATTCCTGGCCATTTTCTGCAGCAGGCAAATGCTTTAGTGCTTATGAACTTCTGTCTTATCGACTTGTCTGTTCAGTCGTTCATTACCAGTTTCATGCCTAACTGACCCTTCTTCACCCATTTTGTTCCCCCTGAAAGCTTCCTGCATGCTCCTGCTCCCATTTCAGCCTGAGAGGATCAAAACGTGTCAGATTCTCAGAGAACCGTAACTCCATCTTTCTTTTACTGACATTTTAGATAGAAATTCCTCCATATGGCTGAAATGATTTGGGGGCTAGATTCATCAAAAAATATCTAAGCAGGTGAGGTAGGAATTAAAAATGAAATAGAAGCCATCCTTTCTGATGTTCATTTTAATTTTGTGACTCTTTTTGGTGTGTAGTTTTTTTTTTTCTGAGAGCCTTAAGCAGCTTTCATTCTTCTTCCCAGTAGTCATCACAATCATTATTTATTTTTTAGCATTGGGAGTGAACTGCCAAAAGCATAAAAAAAGACATAACTTTAATTTCTTGGACCTTGTTCTGCTTTCAGTCCATCTTGTGTCAATCCTGAAGCATTTCACCAAATTAAGCACCTAAGCAAAGCAAGTCCAGTAATGCAAATGTAACAGATTTTTGTCTGAGTGAGAAGCTCTGAAATCCTCAGGTGCTGGGGAAGCATAAAGTGTCATTGATTGCATTCCTAGTTTAATTAAGGCAACTATTTGCATAGTTCAGATGGCTTTCTTGCCCCATCTGGTGAATGAATTGCATAAACCATCATCATGTGCCATGGACATGACAGATTTAATCCTTTAGTACAAATGGCAATATCTTGTATTTTTACCTGTACATGCCATCCCATTGGATTTTCCTTAATGTGCTTCCACACAGAAAGCACTGCCTGATTTTTCACAATATCTAATTGCAGTTTGTAAACCTTTTGAAGAAGAAGTCGATTTTTTAGGGACACGGTTACACCATATGCTGAAAGCCAAGTAACACCACATCACAAGCCCGTGAATCCAACGTGTACTCATAGTTCTGGGGACTGAAAAACGTGTTTGCAAGCCTATGGTGGCTGGTTCAGCATATGTGTGTCACATCAGGACCACTTCTCATACATCGGTTCCTTCTTTGAAATTTTAGAAAACAGATAATAAATTGACTTGGCAAAGTTCACAGTTTTTCCCATGAGAAAACCAGCCAGAAGTGTGTCACATGAAGTGTTAAAATCTACTTTCAGGCATCCTGGGTTTCATCAAGTTGTTGTAGAGAGTATATTCACCCCCCCAAAAAAGCCACATTCCTACAGAAATGCTTACATAAAGCTCAAATCCAAGCTGTTATTTCCATTAACATCGTTGCATTGATAAAAGATTCATTACAGATAGAAGATCATCAAACAATATTGCTGCCATAAACCACTGCAGTATTTCAGTAGCTGTGCATGACGTAGATGCATGTTGGAATAGCCTTTAAGATTAAAAAGGCTCACGCATTTCCACCAAGTTTTTGCTTATTCATTTATTTTCAAGGATCAAACATATTTAACTGAAAAATCTTCTTTTTCTTTTTTTTTTTTTTAAATTCTTTCCAGTTTATCACAAATAGTGTAATTCGGGAGGGGGGAGCTTGTTTCTGCTTTTGCTTTAACAGATTTCTTCATAGATTTTGTATCACATGTTGAAAAGTCAATGAAAAGAAAATAAACCCCACATATATCTAGCTAATTCAGGTCTACGTCATTCCTCCAATCAGCATCTTGCTGGAAAGAAAGGAGAAACATGGCATATATCATAGGTAGGTATGATTTTACATACGGTGCAACCTAGAGGGTTAGGGCAGGAGAAGCAATGCTGTAACAAAAATGTTTTGGTAAACAACACTCCTCTGTAGTTTGCCTACAAAGTCACCGGACACTTGATTCATTCTGCTACCGCTTTGCCTTGCTGCAAGTGCTCAGACTGCCAGCATTAATAATTATTGACAGGGTGTTCATGCCAAAAAGTCTCGTTTCTGACCAGCAAATGGCAGATGTTTGATGAACAGTGTATTCTTACATATGGCACGTGAAGTTTGTAACCCCAGATACTATCTGTTGAGTGCTGGAATGCTCCCTAACCCATCAACCAGAGGAGTTCATGTCCTCGGGCTAATCCTTTTCTATCACAATAAAATACAACAGAAAAAATAGATGATGATCATTTACTGTCAGTGCATGATAAGAAGGGACTCTAATTCTCATTCCTAAGAAACGCTAGGAGAATAGTTGTTTGCCACTTTGATTGACACTAATTCTCAATGGATTTATTTAAGCTGTAGTGAGATGTTCTCATTCACAGCTTTTTCATATGTATTTCCCAAGACAAATTATGGCTTTGCGTGTTGGTCTGAGGTTTTTTTTTGGTTTCTCTTTCAGGTTTTTAAGGGGCAAGGGAGGTATTAATTTGTGGTAAATCTTTTCAGGTAGGGACTGGAGAAAAATTGAGTGTACTGATTGTAGGATCATGCAGGCTATGGATCA